ACTTGGAATAAGCATATTGTTTAGGAGTATAGTGTATAATATAGGGTCACTATATGATTAATCATTAGCAGCATTGATACTGCGTGGCACATATTTATTTATATTATTTTAAGGTTCAAACCATTTGCTAATATTTTTGGTTAAAGTATGTATATCTACAGCAAAACATCTTTTTTAAAATAGTTGTGAGCATACAATTTTATAGACACTTTCTAATACAGTCATAACTATGAAGGCACCATGACTGACCGTTCCTACTTTTTTTACAAAGTTAAACATTTATGTGACAATGCATTTCTTTTTCCTCATAGTTGGCAAGGTTACAATACACTGTGCAGACCAACCATGAGCCTGTATTCTATAGTCTGTTCAGGCAAGAGGCAGGCTGTGATTAGGAGGGGGTGTGTGCCAAAGGCAGGCTGTGATTGGTTGGGGGAGTGTAGTGGCTGAACAAACTACCCAATACAGGCATGCTGTGTGTCTGCACAGTGTCCTGTATCTCAGAATGGCAAGCCAAAGGATGCAAACTAACCACACAAGCATAGATCAGTTCTCTTCTTTGTGTTGTGTGATACTGAGCCTGAGATTACCAGAAAGTCACTTGCACTTGCAAAAGTAAATAGTCTTTATTGGTCTCTCAAAACAGGCAAACATAAATAGCTTTCTTGAACAAAAGTTAAGCAAAGAGTTTAAAGTCCAGATATAAAGAAAACCAAACAACACAGCTCACTGCCAGTCTCTTGGCCCTCACTAGGGTTTAGGGTTCCCACCTGTTCCCACCAGCTCAGCAAAATCTGAGTCTCAGTCTCCAGAGAGGCCACATTTGTTAACAGCTTTGAGCCACTCCACAATCCTTCACAGATAGGGGCTGATTTATTTCTGCTGCTTTTCAAGACTTCCTTGTAGGTGGCTTTACCCCTTTAGGACCAAAACCCAAATAACAGGAAAATGTACCCATCGTACATGAAACATTCCCAGCTTCTTGTACAATGATCAGCTTAGGATCAACCAGGTACTCAGATAGAAGAAGCACAAAACAATTATAGAGACTATGATTTATAAAATACACATATGTGAACACACACATAGAAAAAAAATATTATTTAGGGTAACATACACTTTACATTTTTGATGGCATAGGAAATGTCTCTGTTAACTCAACAGTAGGTACAAACTAAATCTCCCTAAACCTTTGAACAGTTGCTGCCATTGAAAGATTTCCCCTTAAATTCATTACTGGTGACAACTTAATTTTTGAGGTTCCTTCACTTGTAGTAGCAAGGACTAGTACAAATTAAAAGGATGAAGACTACAAATTAAAAGGATGAAGCTTCCCAGCAGGAACACAGAAATCAATAAAAACCTAACAGAGTTTTTAACCCTTTCCCACACTATTCAACAATAAAAAAAATATTGCATTAGATACACTTTAGAGCCTAACTCCAGCAACAAAGTGTTTTTTATTATGGACAGACTGGGGAAGAGATGAAACCCAGGTTTGTTTGTGCTCTTTCCATTGAGTATATTTCCTCTCATGTCATTTTAAAACAGAAAGTGAGGGGAAATCTTTCCAGTGGGGAAACACACAGCAACAAAGCATGTTTTTGGGGGGAAAAGTTAGAGCTTTCTTCAAGTTATTTTTGTCCATGTCTTCCCATCTCAGTAACAACTATTCCACTTATTTCTGCTGGCCTGCTGTCACAGGAAGAGAAAGTCCCTATGTCAAGAATGTCACAGACAGCAGGGTCACAGGGTTGATCCTGTGTGCTAGGATGTGCCTCATCTTGCACTAACCAATGAAAATGTCCAGGGGCGGACTGACCATTTGGAAACTTGGGATGCACCTGGTACCATTTTCATAGGCTTTTTTGAGTTTGGGCAAGGACACAGGGGCCCCATGATCCCCTATTGCCCGGGGGCCCCATGAGTTGTCAGACTGCCCCTGCAAATGTCCAAAACCTGGCAAACAGAAGAAGATTCTGCCACTGGTGAAGGAGTATGGGGAAGGTGAGCATTCCTCCCTTTAGTTCCACTTAAGGGTGGAAGATATGGCTAACTGTAACTACGAGTGGCATTCAAGTCAAACAGGGACTTTTAATTTTACAGGTATATAAAAAGGGATGCTAGCGTGGTGGTACTACACATAGTATTAAGTGGTGAGTGTGTCCTATTACCGATAGGCATTGCAAATGTCGTGGGCCAGTCCAGAGACCGTTAATCAAGGTGGCAGACAACAGTTTTAGTGCGTGCATGGAACAGCATGATGTGATGAAGTTTCTTGTGAATGAAGCTGTAAAGCCCATGGATATCTACAGAAGACTTCAAGCACAGCCTGGTGATGAGATTATCAGCCACAGTAAGACATTGGAATGGTGTAAATGTTTCAAAGATGGCCATAAGTCCATCAGTGACAATCCCAGCCATGGTGGTTCCCACCTCACAGTGGTCATTCCTGTGAATATTCAGCACATGGAACACCCGATCCTGGATAATCGATGCATAACCTATTGTGAAATTGCAGAAGACACAAATCTTTCTGTGGGAAAGGTGAACACAATAATTTAGGAACATTTACATTTTTGAAAAGTTAGGGCACGCTGGGTAAAAAGACAGCTTTCTGCTCTGGAATCAAAACAAGCATCAAAGCAGTGGAAGCATGCAGACTCATCACCACCAAAAAATTTTTTGAACAATTGCATCTGCAGATAAAGTGATGGCAAGTGTGTGGCATTATTCATGTGGATTTTCTATCCCATGGTGCTACTATCAACAGTAAATTTTACTGTTGTGTCCTGAGTGATGTGTATACGCATCTGTGGACAAAACAGCCTGGTTTGATCACTAAGGGTGTCCTGTTTCTCCAGGACATTGCACAAGCTCATACTGTTCACCTGCATTATATGCACATTACAGTAACTCGGCTGGGAGGTATTGCCACATCCTCCTTACAGCCCAGACCTTGCCCTGAGTGATTTCCACCTGTTTGGACTCCCAAAAGAGTTCCTTGGAAGTCAGCACTTCAGCACTGATGACGAAGTGAAGCAGGCTGTCCTAGGATGGTTCAGGTGTACTAACAAATCTTTTCTGTGCTGAAGCTTTCCAGGCATTAGTTAGGATAAGTGTATAAATGTATCAGGGGAGTAAGTTGAAAAATAAATGCAGTTTCCACTCCTTGAAACTTATTCTTTTATTATATAAACTCAAAAGTCTTGGTTTCACTTGAACACCCTTCGTATTTTAAAAATGTTTCCTCCACTTTTCTCCCACCTATCCTTCATACCTTATTTAAAAATATCTGTGTAGTTACCTATTAATGTGATCCAGCATCACCAGCTACCCTGTGTCAGTGAGCAGCTGTTGCGGGGAGAGGAGGGAGTGCAGCCAACAGAAAGGGCTATGGGAGCCTATAGGTGACATCAGAATAATTATAAATATAATATAACCTTTACTAACAATTTAAAGCTTACCTGCAGACAAAATATTTTTAATGATGGATAGGGTAGGGGTGCGTTTCTGTGGGGTACAGTAGGCAGGGGCGGACTGACCATTTGGAAACTCGGGCACTGTAGGGGGCCCATGAGATGCCCCTGGTACCTTTTTCATAGGCTTTTTTGAGTTTGGGCAAGGACACAGGGGCCCCACGATCCCCTATTGCCCCATGAGTTGTCAGTCCACCCCTGACAGTAGATACACTATATAGTGAGCGGTTTGTGCCTCTACAAGAAATAGTTTATTGTGACACAACTTTACACATCTTCCATTGTCAGCTTCCTTTGCAGCATTTTGTTACATGACTTCTTGGAGTTGTAAAGGAATTTAATACTTGAAGACTTCTCTCTACTAGAATCTGTGATCTCAGGTTTGCATGGGAACAAGATATAAATTTGCCCAGCATGTGTCACTGACTGTCCTACTCCGCCTGATGTCCGAATAGAGTAATATCTTCACCAAGGGTCACTTTGCACTAAAACAGAAAAAAGGTGGAATTGGGCTTTGAATCTGATTTGCAGCCTTAATGAAAATCAATTTAGGTTAGCTCAAACTGTGTTTTTTTTGTACCAAAAGTAATTCCCAAGTCAATTGCTAACATTAGTCTAGTTTAATTTGGGAAGAAAAAGCAGCCTTGAGCCAAGCTGTCTACCTTCAGAAATGAAGTTTAGGCTGTGATGAAGGCAAGGGATTTAGGCAATTCACATTGTGCATATGTCACCTGATAATTTACACCTAATTCAGATTTTTTTTTTCTATTTGTGGCCATGTTTGTGGCCATACAGTGCAAACTAATAGGCTCTCCACCATAGGTACACATAGGCATCACCCTGCTGCCGTGAATTCCCTAGGAGCATTATTCAACTGCTTAAGCAAAGTGACAGGTGTTATTTACTTTTAACACTACTGCTGAGCATCCACACATATATATTACAGGTCAATTTAATGATTTTCCTTGGTTTAGCACTACTTAATTTTGACAATTGTTAATTTCCAAACCAACTGCAACTGCAATACAAAACTAAAGAATATCTAATGAATGAGAATAACAGTGCAGATCCCCCTACAGTATATCTGTATATCTGTGTACATGACAAAGCTCACTAAAATCAACCCATAAAGTTTAAACCAACATTATTATTACAGACTTATTATTTATGTAAAGTCAAAGTAGAAAATGTGAATTGATTTCAGACCAGTTTGTTTCTGTATACAGTTTATAGTTATGCATAATATTCCTTTTAGCTTTGGGTGTGTTTTTCTGTGCAAATTCTGCCCAGTGAGTTTGTTTTTATTTTCCTTTCTAAAAATGCAAGTCTAGAAATCTCCATCAGATAACGGAAATAATACTCTATGTGATTAATGTGTTTGTAAAAAGGACTGGAGTCAAGTCAAAGTAAATATGACCTATGTAACCACATAATTCATGAAAAAAATGTCAGAACATGTTAACCTCTTTACACTGGCCACACCCATATATGCTTCTTCTTAGTGCATGGGCCTTAATGCAGAGAGGCTGCATATATGTGTATCTAAAATGTAACCAATGCTGTGCCAAGAATGTGCGTCCTGCACAGGGGCGGACTGACAACTCATGGGCCCCCGGGCAATAGGGGATCATGGGGCCCCTGTGTCCTTGCCCAAACTCAAAAAAGCCTATGAAAAAGGTACCAGGGGCATCTCATGGGGCCCCCTACTGACCTCCGGCCCTCGGGCAGTGCCCCGAGTTTCCAAATGGTCAGTCCGCCCCTGGTCCTGCATGATCCCGAAGCAGTTACCTTTGGGTAACAGAAAGTTCCTGATTGATACTTGTAATTGGGAGCTTTCCGATCATGTGACCGCTATGACAGCCAATCACAGTGGTCTCATGATCAAAATGTCCAACTCCCGGCATCTGAAACCACTTAAAGGGCTGGAGGGGCTGATAGGAAGGGGTTAACCACCCTCTACTAGCTGTTTCAGTGAAAAAGAAACTAGAGAAGTGGTCATGGATAGGCTGTTTATCTTACATCGATAGACTTTTTGCTGACATTTATGCAAGTGCCCAGACATGCACAATGCTGCTGCTCCCACTGTCATTAGACAATGGAGAGTATAGGCAAATAACACATAGCTGATCTGAGAAGCTTTGTGTCTTGTGATCACTGTGATGGCCAACCACAGGGATCACAATTATCATCAATCTCAGTTCATTAAATCTTTTCAGAAACTGTACAAAAAAGTAAAACTGGCACATAAACAATACAATGGTAGGGAATACAACAAAAAGGGACTAAGGGAGGGCGAGGGAAGGGGGGGTGAAGGGTAGGCAACAGAACATGAGGCAATAATAAACAATAATAGTCTGGCACTGCATAGCTCCAATTGCAGACCCAAGGGTAAAGTGCAAATAGTCTTGTTGTACAAACAATATCAAGCCCCCTAAGGGTACAGATAAGGAAGACTAAAAGAACCACAAAAAAAGCACAAACCCTAAGGGACGTTGTACCATAGAGAACAATTAAGATCAGCCTGGAAAAAAAAGGAAAGGAGCAATGGAACCCACCAGAGCAATCCACGCCCCTCCCCTTCCAGAAAACAATCGCCCAGAAAAACAAAAATAGGAGGGGGGAAAAAAGGGGGGGGGAGGAAGAGGAGAGAGGAAGGGAGAGAAGGGGAGAGGGGAAACATAAGGGGAAAGAAGAGAGAAGGAAGAAAAGGAAAACAAAGAAAAATAGATCCGCCTGATGAAAAGCATCTAGTAAAACAACAAACCAACATGAACCAGAAAGAGAAAAAAGGGACAATTCCCGCTCAAGTAGCCATGAGAGAGCGGAGTGCGGAGGACTCCCTATACATATGCCAAGTCTGACAACAGCATTCCGTAGTGCCCAATTCCTGAGACAAGAGCAACTCCATACATCCAATGTGATCCATCTCCTCAACTCACTCCAAAAGAGTCGGGATACAGCTAGTTCTCCAATGGCGAAGTATAACCAGCCTGTCAGCCGTCAAGCAATGGCGAAGAAGGCCACTTTTGAAACAGGGATAACAATTATTAGCAGTAGTACTTGTTACACTGGAGAGCCTTTCCTTTCCTCTCACAATATAGACAAAGAGGATTCAATTAAAAAATCCATTAATTAAATCCTTCAGATTGCAGCAGAGAAGGCTGCAATTCAAGGTGTGGGGGGGGGGGTTAAAGGGCCAGTGACCACCAATGTTATGGGATTGTTTTGAGGGGATTTAAAGTGCCACTGACTACCAATGCTGGTGGGGGGTGGGAGTTTTAAAATGCCACTGACCACCTATGGTTGTGAGATTGTTTTGGACCATTTTAAAGTACCGCTGACCACTAATAATTGTGGCATTGTTTTGTGCATGGTTTAAAGTCTTTTGGGGGTTATCCATAACATATAGTCATTGCACACAATGCAATTTCAGTGCAATACAATTTCATCCTCCAGGAAACTAACTTTCAGTATTAAAATCAGACTTGCAATTGGCTTGAGTGGGCAACTTTTATTTTCCATTATATATTTTATTACATTTTCTTTTAAGAAAAAAAATACCTTACAAAACCATCATAAATCTTTTTACATCATACATACAGTAGTGGGCAACTTTTACCACTTGCCTACTGGGCACTTTGACCCCCTTACTGTGCAGGCCAATTTTCAACTTTCAGCACTGTTGCACTTTGAATGACAATTGCGCGTCATGAAACACCGTACACAACCTAAATTTTTATAATTTTTTTTCACACAAATAGAGCTTTCTATTGGTGGTATTTAATCACCGCTGGGTGTTTTATTTTTTGCTAAACAAACAAAAAAATACCAACAATTTTGAAAAAAAGTTTTTCTTCGTTTGTTATAAAGTTTTGTAAATACGTGATTTTACTCCTTCACTGATGTGTGCTGATGAGGCTGCACTGATGGACACTGATAAGCTGCACTGATGGACACCGATGAAGAAGCACTGAAAAGGCTGTGCTGATATGCAGCACTGATGGGCACTGATAGGAGGCACTGATGGGCATTGATAGGCGGCACTGATGGGTACTGAGAGATGGCACTGATGGGCATTGATAGGCATCGCTGATGGGCACTGATGGGCACTGATGGCCTGCACTGAGGAGGCACTTATAGCCAACACTGATGGGTACTGATAGTCAGCACTGGTACAAAGCACTGATGGGCACTATTAGCTTCGCTGATGGGTACAGAGGGGGGTACACTTTATTTTTCTATTCTATGTCATATGCTTTGCAACATTATTGCATTTGAAGTTTGAACGTTGTATTTGTGGGAGATTTAAAGTTCTCACTTTTGTAGACATGGTTTATTTGATATTCTTCTTAACAGAAAGTAAGGTTTTTTTTTTTTTTTTCCTAGTTTTTTCCTTTATATAATAAAAAATAGGAAGAAAAAACTGTGTGTGGTTATTAAATATCATTAAAAGAAATATCTATCTGTCTGAAAATTCATTTGGGTAAATTTTGCAAATTGACAGTCAAATCCCAGCACTGAAAACTGAAAATAGTCTTGAAAGGAAGGTGGTGTAACATGCTGGTATTGAGTACATGTAAATCCAATCACTAAAATTTCAAATAAGTCTTAACATGTTAATGAATTTTTCAAAGTCGTTTTTAGATTTTTTAAATCTGTTGTTTTTATTACATTTATTTATTTGATTTATTACAGGTACCTACATAGCACCATCAATTTACGCAGCGCTTTACATATATATATTGTACATTCATATTAAATAATATTTGATGATCCTGCAATAAAGATACTTGTTCAGGCATTTCCTTTTTAGGATGACACCTAATTGTTCTCTTGCATTTTCCCTGTCAAGCTTCCAATAGAAACTACAATTGACCATTTCAACACAAATTACACAGGCATGTACCTCGGTTGTTATGATCAGGAATCCTGCTCAGAGAATTGCCATGCAGCCATTGCCAGGTACATGTAGACAGGAAGTGTTTGCAGAAAGGATGCATGACATTAGCATTACCGAGATGCAACAGAGCATGAAAATAAATATTTAGTTAACAAAAGGCAAATTTGATGATACACTCAGTTGGTTTACATCCGCAATACAGGTTTATTATTTAAACTTATTAAGCATATAAAATATGTGGTTTAATGTAAAAAATCATTTTTATGAGATTTTTTAAATAATAAAAACAATACAAAGCAGTTATTTTCAATTATTCAACATTTCTTCAAGCAGACACTGGCTGATTAATTTTTAAGCTTATGTTTGTACATTGATTTCTGCCTTTTTATGGGGGTTTGTTTTGAAAAAAAAGCAATGAAACATACAAGTGGCCTTTTGGCTGGTCAATGAGCCACACAAACAAATTTTCAATGAAATAAGTGTCATAGAAGAGCAGAGAGATAGTAAGGGATAAAATAAAATCTTGCAACTGAATAAGAAAGGGATAAAGCGGACCTTAGAAAATGGGATTGCACGTGAAATAAAATGGTTTGAGAAAATCCAATTTCCAGACGGGTTTCTTTCCTGATCATAGCCTACACTCTGCAATAGGGATGTGTCTATAAAATGAATTTTGGACAGATGCCTTACTTGAAAAAAATTAACTGTTTCTGCTATGCATGCAAAGATCACATTTCTTCTCTAAATATTGTGTCATTTATTGAAGCACATTCTACCTATTAACATGGCTTTAACATGACAGACATCAGATAAATGATATGTCCTATCATGTCCTAAAGTGCACGTCATTTTGTATTAAAGGATACCTTTAAGGGCTATATAAAAACTGCTATTGCTGGACTCTTTAAAAATGCAAATGTTAAATAGCCATACAAGAAAATCCAATCCGAAGTACAAATAAAAATAAAACACATAGCCTCTGAAAAAAGAGAGGAGGACAGGAGATAAGCACCTTGACTCCAAAGTGAAAATAAATACAACAATATATAGAGAGTATCAGATGTCTTCAAAATCCTATAAATATACAAAATACCCAATCCTAACCCAAAATTAAAATCAATAAAATGCCATACTTTGATTTCACATAAGATGCACCTGACCATAAGACGCACCTAGGTTTTAGAGGAGAAAAACAAGAAAAAAAATATTCTGAACCAATGGACTGCAGACATAGTACAAGAGATGACCAGAGACTGCAGACACAGTATAGGAGATGACCAGAGACTGCGGATACAGTACAGGAAATGACCAGAAACTGCGGATATAGTACAGGAGATGACCAGAGACTGCGGACACAGTACAGGGGATGACCAGAGACTGCGGACATAGTACAGGGGATGACCAGAGACTGCGGACATAGTACAGGAGATGACCAGAGACTGCGGACACAGTACAGGAGATGGACCAGAGACAGTGGACATAGTACAGGAGATGACCAGAGACTGCAGACATAGTACAGGAGATGACCAGAGACTGCAGACATAGTACAGGAGATGACCAGAGACTGCAGACATAGTACAGGGGATGACCAGAGACTGCCGACATAGTACAGGAGATGACCAGAGACTGCCGACAGTACAGGAGATGACCAGAGACTGCAGACATAGTACAGGAGATGACCAGAGACTGCGGACATAGTACAGGGGATGACCAGAGACTGCGGACATAGTACAGGAGACGACCAGAGACTGCAGACAGTACAGGAGATGACCAGATACTGCAGACCGTACAGGGGATGACCAGAGACTGCAGACACTACAGGGGATGACCAAGAGACTGCCGACAGTGCAGGAGATGACCAGAGACTGCGGACCTTTGGGAGGGGAGGGGGAG